TAAACGCTCCACTGCTGAAACACTTTAAGTGTATGTTGACGCCGGACAAAACCACTGCGCAGCTGACGCCTGTGGCTGTTCGGCTGACGCCATTATCCCACGTTTTCGTCTAATTTGGTTTGTTATTGTAAAATGCCCACTCTGATTGGTGAGTAGGACTGTAACAGGAGACGCATGGTGCTTGTGATTGGCGAGCAGGTCTGTCACACAAGGATGACAACGGAATGAATTTGTAACTGCATGACTGTTTAAAACGGGTCTGATGCACTGTATAGATTAGCTAAATGCACTGTCTTCAAAATTAGCTAATCACATTCTTTCAAATCGCAATTTTTATGTGAAAACGATAAATTGTTCAGCCCTAGTTTACAGTGGGTTTTTAGCCTGCTGTTTCAACAATGCTAGCGCTGAGAGTAACCAAAATAGTATAGTTAAGGGCCAGACGCTAAATAGTCAAGGTGACTTTCACACAGAAGAACAGGGTTCCCTGTGAAACAAAGTAAATGGTGAGTTATTTTGAGTTTAATAGCATTACTGGTTTCCGTCATGTGATTAACATGACTTCTGTAGCGTGATAAACGTGAGTTCAGTCACGTGTGAAGCCACAAGACTTGTGTAATGTATTTATTTTAACCCAAACCACAATGTTTTCCTAAACCTTACCAAGCTGTTTTATTGCATCAACCTAACCAAACTGCGACCGTGTCGCAACGTGAACCTCATGTTTAATGTTGTGTGATTTGGGTCACTTTAATGTACTTATCCAGTACATACAGTTTTTTGCTTTAATTATAAAAACTAACTATTATTTCACATCTGATACATGTGAGATACATATGTGAGACAGATGGTATTGAAGCTGTGGTCGAAGCTATTAAATCATTCACTACAAAAGTCTTAGCTGTAATGTGAGTGTAGCTCTTAAGATAATATTTTCTCTTAGAGTGTGCTGTAAAAAGGCTGAAGCTTACCCTTCAATCCCCAGGGATCAAATAAGTCCGAGACCACTGTCTTTTTTTCCAACCTCTCCAGTCTCTTTGTTCTCTTTGTCTCTGTGAAATGCCAAAAACTGACTTCTTTGTTTCATGACTGCAGATGATGTATAACTTATTGAACTTAACTTATATATATATTAACTTATATAACTTATATGAAACTTTTACTTTTCTTTTAACAACTGGAAAAGCTCAAAATGATCTTGATTAAATGATGCAGCTGCTTTAAATTCAAGTTCAATCTTTAAATCATCCCAAGTGTATGTATTTTGTTTGAACTTTTAAGTTTTAACTTCCTGCAGTTGTTTTTGCAGTGTCAGTATACCTCTAAAGTTGTAGAATATCAGAGACTCCGATCAATTATTTTCAAAGCCTTCATTGAGGACTCTAGCTCTCGCCTGTAATAGCCACATTTAAGGTGGAGAGTTATTTTTGAGATTATGCCTCTCTGAGATGAAGTCAATTTCCCTAGAGGGTCGTCACAGAGTGGAGATAAGGATTTTTGCAGTGGGAATACTTTACAGCTAATGTACTGTAGGTTCTAGTTTCACCTCTGTAATTCTTGTATTGATTTCAACTTAATTATTCCTCTCCTATGAGACAAAATCCATCTGGTGCTTAATGAGAGGGCTTTGTGTGTAAATGGACTTACACAGACATCCATGTGAGTAATGATGTCACCTAAAAACTGTAAATGTCTATAGATAGGTTTTCCAGCAATTTTATCATAGTGTAGAAAACAAACAATATAATTAGTCAGAGGTAATCCAAAAATCAACATGAGAAGTTGTTTTGTGCCACAAACTGCACAAATCACATAATTCATGGAAAATGTTAAATATCTCTGTATGGAAACTTCCTTGTTAGCTCTTTATTAGATATTAGCATCTAGTTATCTGTATATTTTAATAAGGTGGTCGATAGTTTTGCACAGAAACCGGTGAGGAAGGAACAAATTTTAAAGTAAGACAGCTCACTCAAACATTTAAAAAGGCTCTCTGATCAAGGTTTTGGTGATCACTTTGATGTACATTTGGAGTTGACACAGTGAAAGCTGATGGATAGGAAAATGTATCGCAATTAAACATTTTGGAAAATTTATAACAAAAAAATGTGTAGATTCCTGTTTCATAACCCCCTTTAGATGATAAATAATACTTATATACTATAATGACATTTTCCTGTAAAAATGTAATTTGATTTAATATATTATTCAGAATGAGGAGGCTTCTTTGCTTCTAATCCATGTTCATGGTTTGGCACACACAATGATCTAACTATGTGTAGTCTGGGTTTCACATTCACTGCTGCTAGCTGCCATTTCTCACTGGAAATAAATTTGGCTAATTTTGGAAACGCTTTATCAATCAACAGTCTTTTGATTTGGTTTTCCAGCAAATTATCGAGGATTCTCGAAATCCTCGATTGTTTGTAAAATGAAAACTAGTCTTGTTGAAGCGGGTGAGTCTTACCTGCTCTGTACTGCTGTTGGTTGTTACTTCTTTTCTTATGATATTGAATCCAGGAGACAAAGTGAGATGATCAAAGAGATCTGAAACTTCCCCGAGAGACTAGAAGGTGAGTGATAAAGAAATGAGCCTCCAGTCAAAATACACAGCTTTTCATAATTATTGTGGCAGAGCTACAGTGAATGTATATAACATATGTGGCAGAGCATTGTGGCAATGCTCTTTTTTTTCAGCATGTACTAAATCAAAGTTGTAGCATGCAGCAGTAATTGTAACTGAAAGGCACCACAGCATAAAAAGCCTCCTTTGAGCTGATGTATTGTATTTCAACATATCACTCATTGTCGCAGCAGTTCTTTCTGCTGAAGCTGCTCGCACAGTACGAGGCGTGGTGGCCAAGGGGTGACAGAAAGTGCTGAGTTACTTTTCCAGGCTTTCATTAGGTTTACTTGATCCCCATCAAATATCCAGCGGCAGTAAAAAAAAAAAGTCCAGAGTTCCCTTTTTGACGGATATTCCATGGCCACATCGACAGTAAGTCTCAAGCTCAGATTAATGGCTCTCCGTAAGCATCTTAATATCTCCGAAAGAGGAAATAATTTTGACGTAACAAAACAATGAAGCCTGCTGGATGTCAAGAATCAATGCAGTTTGTTACAACAAGTTGAAATCATTGTGAGGAGGTCATTGATTCCCAATAGGTGCAGGACTCACTACAGTAGCTTCTGCATGTAGCCCTTACTTCTCTCTAATTGTCTCTCTAGATGCTTCTTAATAAGCACAGCCATCTGTCTTTTTAAATTAGTTTGCAAGTGTGTGCAGAAAAATTAAACAAAAACATGAGCGTGCCACCCCAAAGGCCAGCCGCATTAATACATCAACATGCCCATCAATAGTCCATTGGCAAACTGTAATGTCCTCTTTCATCACTGACTTCACTGGTATGATGGAGCTGACGAAGACTGACAGTGGCTCCACACATCAAGAGTTTTTCACTGCCCGTCAACTCCAGTCTATTGAATTTGGAAAGTGGGAAGATGTATTGTTGAGCAAATATGCTGTGAAAGCGACATCAACACTGGAGCTGCTGATTGGGGACATGAAAGTTTCACCAAAGTGTCAAGTTTTTAAGGACTAAGATCCTTTTTGAGTATGTTCAGTGGAGCTTCAAAATGGTTTCATCAGCTTGAGATCAAATCATTTTCTCAGCACGCAGAAAACACAGTGAAACACAGTTGTCACATACAAGAGCATGTAATAGCTTGACTGTGTGTTCTGGCGGTAAACTGACTGTATTCTCCGTGTTAACAATTTATTACATATGTAGTGAAAGGAAACATTTTGGGAAATACACTTATTTGCTTTCTTTCAGAGAGTTAGAAGATTGATTTCAATCTCTTGTGTGCATTAAGTTTCTATCTGGAGATGATTAGCTGAGTTTAGTATGAAGACAGGAAAAAGCTACAGGGCTCAGTCCACCTACCAGCACCTCTAAAGCTTACTTAATTTAGTATCTTGCTTTTACAATTCATACACAGAAATCAAACATATGAGGTGCCGGAGTCTTGTTGTGACTGTGAGGTTGCCTAGGGCCCTATGAAATCTGTTTTAATTTTATAAAATTTGTATGTTACATAAAATTCATTGATATGATTCAATTTTATTTTATATTTTCTTTTTGAATGAGAATGAAATGCTGAAGTTGTATACTAATTAATGTGCATATAGAAATATTCAAATGTATGTGCATTATTTATGGGGACCACTATTTAACAGAAGACAATTCACAATGACTACAATGTTGTAATAGATGTACTGTGAATTGTCCTATTTCTTTCGGCTCAAAACACGGTAATAAGTGGGTCTGATGGAGGTTACTCTCATGTGGGCAACGTTCCTTCTTGTTTACAACGCTTGACTAGATGTAGAATCTCCGACTCCGCCCATACAGCAGTCTTAAGTCTTAAGTAAGCTGGCGTCTTGCATCTGCCAATGTGGTTGCACTTCTGAGAGTTTGTTGAATTGATGAGCTTTTGGTAGAGCTCTGACTGTCTTGTACTACACCAGTGTAGGTACCAGATATGCTATATGTCGGGAATGTTTACAGATGTAGTTTTTGTGGGTCCTGGATCAACTATGGAAACTCAGAGCCGTTAAATATGATTATTTAACGACTCTGGGACAACTTATACAATGAAATACAGCTTTACTTGGGACTTACCACAGCCTGACAATAAGCTGTAAAAGCGATTCTATGAATTAACGTTACAATGCTAATGTTAGCTGCCGATCAAGTTAAGCTAATGTGTGATTTGCCATATTGCCAAAGCAGATGTGAAATAAAAGCAAAAATATCTATCAATAAATAGAGATCCCAAGCAGATCGTATACCTACAACTGTATATGGGGCACAATGTAGTTTGTCCGAGTGGCAAGCTTTAATAATACCAGCTGCTGTAAAACACTTTGACCCGTCCTTTAAACACTTGACAGAGCACAGTCGCTAATTAGAGGATACAACAATGCACACCTGTTTCTGCTATAAGCAAACGAGCAGTCTGCAACTCCACCACTAACACAAAGAAACACGTTATGGACATCTAATTGTGTTCATCTAACAGAGTGCAGAGCTGGGCTCAAATGAAGGATTTAACCTGATACAGGCTCTTTTTAAAAGACAAGGAAGCAGCTCATTCACATACACGGTAGATGAAATATGCTCTGTATATTGTTATAAATTAACCTGGCAAAATTAAATTAAACTAACAACAGCAGAAAGAGAGGATTTACCCGATCATTTTTCTTTCCCACTCAAACATTTCTGCAGTTTGTCGTATTTTAGTTTTTTTTCCTCTCTCCTTCAAAGCAGCTGCTTCCTCCTATCATTAATTGTGTCTCTTGTGTCCTACCGAGCCGTCTTTCTCTTGATCTCAGTGTTTGTGTGTGTTATTTGCCTAATGCTTCTTTGAATTATAGATGGTTCCTCTGGATTTCAATCTTTTAAATATTAAAAGTTAATTTACAGGGAACACTAATGCATTAAACATCCACAACTATTCATTTCCTCACTTAAAAAAAGAAGAGCGAGGAGTACCGGCAAAGATCTTTAACTAGAGTGAAGTGTACATACAAAAGAAAGACTATTATCTTAAGATTGATGTGCAGCAGCTGTTTCATCACTGAAAATATCACAGCATTACGACAGCATCCTGGTAGACTGAGCACAGCATGGAAACATAAAATAAGCATCCAGCTTTATCTGTGATTGTAGATTTCAGTTCAGATATGCAGCTGTTTAGAAGACACTGCAACAGCCTGTTAGCGCTATTTCATCTTTAATAAGAAAGAAGAAGAGTGAAACGGTGCCACAACAGAAGATAAAAGACTAAGAAGAAAATGGGCCTCATCGCAGCAGGAGGCACAAGAAGGTTTCTTAAGGTGTGTTAGAAAATGTCATGAAGTGGTTCTCAAAAGTTTTTAATACATAACAGTTTGTATTTGAAGAATTCTCTGCAGTACTAATCTGTAACATTTGTTCACTTTGTAGAACAGAAGATGATTCAACCTGCAGCCAGTGGGTGGAAGCTTTTACAATATTGTTCCATGGAGACGCCCAGTGGTCGCTTGGTTTTTCTAAAGAAAAAATTGTTAGATGAACAGGAAACGAGGCATGTTGCGTCTTTGGCAGGACGCATGTGGGGAAAAAATCCTGGACAAACTGATCTCAGAGACACCAAAGCAGCAACAGCAACATACAACACAATGGTCTCAATGATAACCAATTGAAAAGGCACAATCTGTGATCAAAAGACAAACATACATGGTCCCCACACCACTAAAAGCAAAACAAAGGATTTTAACCTGCTATGACTGCCCTGACACTTCTGTTGACGTAAAGCTCACAGGCTAATGTTTAACACATGTACTGTATTTACCATTTCAACCCTCTTAGTTTAGCGTGTTAGCATGCAAACATTTGCTAATTAACACTAAACACAATGTACAACTGAGACTTACCCATTTTGCAGGCATTACTTTAATTTGTTATTAATTATTCATAGTCAAGTGAGTTTCACAATATCACAAATCAGCTCAAGGTTTACAATCTGTACAGCATACAACACCCTCTGTCGATTCGGATAAGGAAAAACTCCCCCTAAATAGCACCTTCACAGGGAAAAAAGTAAAAAAAATCTGATTAGGTTTAAAATCAACATGATGGAATTTAGTTTCAGACAGTTTCACCAGTTTGTAATTTTGAATAATTTATAATTATACTGGATTTCTTCTGGCATGTAAAATGACAAATGAAATATTGTATTTATTTAACATACACTTTTAGATCAAATTAAATTTGACTATACTGCTATATTTTCCATACTTCATAGGATGTGTGTCCTTTCAGGTCATCTCTTGTTCTACACAGGAAATTAGTTACGTTAGACTGATGACACATTACCAGTGTGTCATGCATTGTAAAACACAGTCGATGACAGTAAGTCTGCAGTATGTTCCACCCATTCAAACTGTATAGGACATAGATATTTATTGTGTTTTTTTAGTTATCTCCTAATCTAAGATTTAGAAAAGCAGTTTAGACGTTGTATCTACATTACGTACTGGGATAATTCTGAACAGAGGGTCTGGTTTGCTGGAGCTCAAAAAAAAGAAAGAAAAAAGCCCAACATCCTGATAGATGATATCCTCAGTCTGTGTGTTATATGACTGTAAACAACTCCCTCTTGAAATGATTTGCCCTCTTTTTATTCCCTAGAACCACACTGTCAGATGCAAGGTACAAAAAATAGTAGCGTTGCTCAAAGGTGACTTTTTTTTTAAGTTATGATTAAATAGTTTAAGAGCACAAAAGCCAAGATCAATGCGCGCTTTCACCAGTTTTCAGAGGGATGTGTGAGGTTATATTACTGTTGTCAAGGTCAGCGTTTTCAATGGACGACAAAGTGCATTATGCACACCTCCATTTGGCTCTCTCCCATGAGATCTGTGAAAATAAAATTACCCAACATCTCCGATTGTGGCATTCATCAAAAAGCACTTGTGCAGCAGGCATTTATTCAAGTATTTACTCTCAGAAATGTCATTTCCGAAAGGTCAAAAAGGGATTTTTTTTCGTCTCTGTAGATGTGCTTTGGTGTCTCTTTTCTCTCAGTGATGATGAGAACACAAACTTTGCTGTGACAGAGTTCAATTTTTCAGCATTCGGACGGGCATTTTCTCTCTGTGGTGCAAAGGTTGCGTTTGCCTCGGTTTAGCTTATCATTCATGTAGAGTTGTTTTAGATAAAGGCATAAATCTCACAGCAGCACAGTGGCAAAAAACAAAATGGGAAGGTCACAAGTAAAGTCTTTTAATGTTTAATACACCCCTGCCATTTCCGTCTGTTAAGATACTTTTGACAGTTTTAAAAAGACAAGACTCTAACAAACAAACATTCCCAATTCAAAAATTCATTTCATTTTTCATTTTAAATATTTATTTTTATATAAATTATTATTATTTGTTTTTTATTATTTTAAGCTCAAGGTCACTTTCACTCCCAGCAGAAGACTTACCTGATGTATCTTCAGTCTGTGATTGTCTTTCTGATGTTCTGTTTTCTGCATAACAAACAGGTCAACTGATTTATAGCAACTATCTATTCCATTTCCACAAACTACAAACCAAACCAACACAGTGTAATCCGGCTTAATTGAGCTTTTGTTCATCTGTTTGGTAGGTGGACATCCTTCCCGCAGGCGTCTTTGGTGCCCATGTGGCAGTGAAAGATCACATTTTATTCTTCCACATCTAAGAAAAGACACATTGGACCGACATCAAATATTCTCCAGCCTCCCCGTTTTTCACCATGGTGATAATGTGGTTAAACGTGGTCTCTGTGGTGCCCTTGCTTATATAAGAGCCGTTTCAGATGTAAAGGCCAAAACTCACCAAATCATTTATGCATTCCACTCCATTTGTTATTGTGAACAAAGGTAGAGTACCAAAGGGAAATGGAGGTGATGCAATTTCAAAAGAGTAAATGTTGGCAGGAATCATGTTCCCTGGTTGGCTAAGGAGTTCGTTCCAAACATTACATGATTTTTAGCCTGGTCTCACATTTAACAAGATAATGTGTTTTTTTATTCTAGAGTTACATACTGATTAACTGATTATCAAAAAAGTTGGTGATTAATTTGATAGTTCACAACTAATCGATTAATCATTGCAGCTCTAACAATAAACTACTTCAACTGTGAAAATGTTAATTATGAATTTGCCTAAAATACTGTCTGACATAAGGTCTGAATTCGCTTCAGAGCACACAACTGCATGGCTTGTGTTCAAATCCACATCAAGAAATCCTCTGGTCAATCAGAGACTCACATGTCTCTCTTTACTTTGAATTGTCTAATAAATGCAGAAATGCCCCTAAAATAACCAAAGAAGAAGTCAATGGGAAGAAAGTCCCTATTTAAGGGCAGGAAATTCATGAAAAGGATTTGTTTTCCAGAATACTAAAAAGGAGCTCAAAGTAATTATTTTTTCTTTAGTCAAACATCCTCAGGTATCTAAGACAGCCATACTATTTCTTTAAACCCACAGGTTCTTCATTTTCTAAGATTATGGTCCTCAGTTAGCTCTAAAATAGTTTCTCAGTTCTTTTTTTAAGCTTTTTTGATTTCTGTAGCCTGGAGTGCTCAACAAGGCCTTGTAGGGTTATTATTTCAGCCGCCGCTAACACCGACCTGGAAAGTAACAATACAACCAAAATTCACATCATCGCCCTTTTTTTCTCCTTTCCATCTCCCAGACTTGCCAACTGTCAGTCTTTCATTGTCCACCTCTTGCTATAATAAAAAATACGAGGCATTTAATTATCTCAAGTTGAATCATCAGAGTATTTAAAGTGTGCATTGTAATTATACTGCAGACTTTTTTTTTTTATAAATGTCATTTGCCAAAGATCCAATTGCCATTTTCTGGTGGGTGTATGTGAAATAGCTCCCCCTTATTTTAGCCATGCATTGTGCTGTTGCAGCTATTGAATGTCTCCCCAAAGGAGCAGATTCATCCGTTTGAGGTTGAATGGAAGCATTGCTATTAGACTACTGCAGGTATTTATGTGCATGACACAAAAGTTCACCTTCAACACACAAAGAATAGGTTGAAAAGACGCACTCACATCCTCTGGCTGCTTTCTTTAAAGGTTAGACTTAGATATAAAATGACGTGTGTGTGGATTAGTTATTACTGAAATAATGTGAAAATGTATTTGTTATAATTTTCCCAGGTTTGAAATTACTTTGTATAATACATTTGTGTTATATTCTTTGACTAAATATTAGTTTAAATGAAAACATGCTAAACTGAGAAATTAGTAGAAAACTTTTGCAAATGTGCGTAAAGATATAATCCTTAAGATTTTCATGAAATCATAACTTTTTTCAAAACTATTTACGGCAGTCATTTTCTTGTTCAGGTGTTTACATTCTGTTTTTAAATCTCTATATAGTAACTCCTATTCGTTGTGGAGTCTGCCATTCCTGCGCTGGATTCAAATTGCTTTCTGATGCACAGGGGATTCACAGGAAAGGACAGAAGTATATAATCCATAATTATAAACATGTTATAACATAACTGTTCACTGTTTACAGTTCTCTCCCCTACAGTCATATCCAAGCTGTTTTAGGTTGCTGCTAATGTAAACAACATTTTGTACTGCTGCGTCTCCTAAAAGAAAACATTTGTTGCGAAGCACTCACAGGAAACACAATTTTTCACAGAGGTTAGTGCCAACCACAACTCCTGATTAAAGATGCATCAGCAAAACAAGACATCAGTTTTGAATAGTAATAGGGTACAGTTATTTTTGTCTGAATTTATTAAAACAGCGTACATTTGTTTGGCTGCACTCCAATGATACAAGAGTTACTCTTCTGTTGTATTTCTGAAAAAGTAGCAGCTCAATGAGTGTTTTCCATTTAATTAAACCTCTCTTGTTATTACAGTAACTACAGGTGTCACCAAATCAACCAGGACAGAAATCTTAAGGATTATAATGAATGGACAGTTACTATTATGTGCCTGTTGTTGGGTATTAAAGTACTACAAAATGTAGTATCACTAAAAACATTGGCATCCAGCTTTTACTGGAGTTTTACTGTACAAGCAGCAATAAAAAGACAGAAATAGAAAGAAATTCCCTTTCAGTGGCCTCCTGTAAGGTTGTGATGGATAAAAATCTGCTATAGTTTTGGTTAAATGCTAGAAAATTATCAAATTTAATGTTGGATATTGTTTAATAAGTCTGCTTTGCACTTTGGGAAATCCAAGCTGAATGTGAATGCTGTGCCAAGATGAATATATTATCTCGATAGGCTGTCCGACAGTACTGCAGAACTCAATTCCAATCTATGAAATGCTCACATGCTTAATTGGAGAAATTGAGAAGGAGGGGGAAATGTTTATAGATAAAACTGCTCATTTGCAAGAAGAGAGTGATTCTAGAAAATTGTGTATTTCTAGTTGAGGAACACCTTTACATTTTATATCTATTTATCAGAGAAATAAAATGTTTGTCAAAAATTGTCAAAAACAAGTTCTTGTCACACAAGTCAGTACTCATGGAGCATTGTACCAAAAAAAAGACACCACAGAGTTGACATACTGCTGATCCATATGAGCCTGCATTGGTCCATTTAACTCATACAGTACAAAATGCTGATCCAGTAAGAAACACTGTCAAGTGATTTTTAAGAAAAAGGCACATTTGAGGACTTTGCAAATACAGACTTCAATCACACTTGGTATCATTTCCTAATTGACAGTATAGCAGAAGTAAGGCTGTAGAGGATGGGAAGACTGGAGTTCCAAAGCTTGCGTGTTTCAAAATATTGCTTTCTTTAACATCTACGCATGGCAACCATTTTGGGAAATAACCTTTTTTCTCTTTCTTGCTGACAAACAGATGAGAAGATTGATACCATTCTCATGTCTGTACGGTAAATACGAAGCTACAGCCAGCAGCAAGAAGCTAACATTGCTTAGCGCAAAGACTCGAAACGGAGGGAAACAGCTAGCCTTGCTCTGTCCAAAGGTAACAAAATATGCCTAGCAGCAACTCTAAAACTCGCTAATTAACACATTATATGTTGTTTGTTTAACCTGTACAAAAACTAAATTGTTTAAGCAGCATTTTGCCGTTTTACATGGTTATTTGCATTTCTTAGTTAGGACCAGTTGCCAGACAACCAGTGGAGAATCGCTGGCAATAGCGTCATTCTGAGAATTTAGACATAAGAATGATATCAATCTTTTCATCTCAACTCTTTGCAAGAAAGTGAACATAAGCTCATTTCCCTAAATGTCAATCATGTCCTTTAAT